AGCACTGTGGCAGTCTCCTCTTCACTGAGAACTAACATACAGACCCCAGCGAGGAAACTCATGGTCGGTCCATATACCTCAAACTCATTATACATGGCTGCAAGGAAGGCAACAAATTTTTTGCGGTGATCGGGATGCAAAAACGTGTTATTCGCGTCTCTGGTAATTAGACGAACCGTCTTCTCGTCCAAATTCCGCACCTCAACGTACCGAACAGGGTCTCGACGCGCCACCGCCGCAGTTACCCAATGTTCCAACGTTTTGCGCAAACTAACTTTATTGCACTCAATAACCCTCTTATCGAGGCCGAATAAAACACTCTGCCCCTTCATCTCAGCTTCCCAAAACATAGGCATGTCAAGAAAGGGTCCGGTGAAGTGCAAAGGCTCACAGTAGCTTACTTTTCTCAAGCGCTTGGGAGACAAGATAGTGGACCGGGGTGTCATTGATGAGGCGGGGTCTGCGTAGTAGGCGGCCCAGGCCACCTCCGTATCCTTCCCCAACTGCTTCTTAATCCACCTTGCCCGCCTGTAAATAAGCCTCAACTCTTCGTTGATGCGAGGCATATTTGTCTTCACAACGTAGCGTCGATCAAAGTATTCGTTTGGTAACTTCGCATAGGATTGAGCAAACGAAGCCAACGCCGGCGCATAGCCACCAAAGCGTTCAAAACATCCATTCGCATATTTCGGCTTAAGACCTGTCAAAGCGATGAAGTCTTCTACAGGTCGCCGCTGGTCTGCTACGAAGGTCGCCTCGCTCATATCTTCACCACCCCCTTTTCTTTCTTTATCTTGGCTGATAGCAGGTGAACACAAGGAGCGGTGTGAGAAACAATACTAAAACATATTGATATATTTATGTGTGTAGATGGAGGTTAGGTGTAGGGGGAAAAAAGTAACATACACACTAGGCATGGCTTTGGTGAGTCCCACTTTATTTTCCACGCACGCAAGCAAAAACAGAACAACAACAACAGCGATATTGAGAAAGCCGGAGATAAAGTTTTCTTTGGGCAAGACCTAATCCTTCTCTTCACCTCGCTGCCATCTTTTTGTTGAATTCTGATTTTACTTCATCCAGCAAAGCTTTTTATTTGTTTCGTTTCTTTTTTCCGCATCTTTTACATAAGAAAGCACTTGGCCAGGGAGAAATCGGCTCCCACGCCGTCATACATATCACGGGTAACATTGCAGAGAGAGAGAGAGAGAGAGAGATAGAGGCCTAACACATGATAATTCGCTGAATCTCTTTAACAGGCAAACGCCTTGCTGTCCAGTTCCCTGACCCCGGAGTGTAAAAAAACTTGTAGGTGAGGGCATCTACCTCGTCGTCGGTCAAGGATAGATTTAGCCGCTCTCGCAGTGCCCGTCTGAAATCCTCAACGCCGAGGTGGCCGTCGTAGGTGTTATTTGAGGTCGTTCTAAAGGCCCGAATGAGGAGGAGCCGACGGGCCTCGCTTCGCGAGATTAGTCTTCGCAGCGCCTCATCCGCCTCCCGCGCCGCAGTCTTGTTCGCCTCAAGGCTTCGAAACGGGCGAAGAGGTCCCTCTTCGATGCCATCCCGCCTCTCATTCTTTGCAACAAAGTCTGAAACAAACTGCTGCAGCAGAAGGTTCTCGACAAGCTCTGACAAACTGACAATGCCGTCTTTGTCCTGATCCAGTCGTTCCATAACGCGGTCCAGTTCGGCGGCGTCCACACGCGTGCCACACTCCGCAAAGAGTCGTTTCAGATCTTCTCGATTCAATCCCTCTGTAGTGGATTTAAACCTGCGGAAGACATCAGTTGCACCTAAGAAACGTTGAAGAATGACGTGTCGCACACGCTCAATAAGATCCTGGGTCTGGAAGTAGCTCTCCTCCATGATAGGCATTCCCATCGCGATGTATCGCTTGGTTCTCTCGTCCATTTCGATGAGCTCATACGTCGCCCCAGCCAGTTTCACTTTGGCTCCCACGTACAGTTTGCCAGGTTCATTTATCTCGGGAACAACAGAACGGGCAAAACACTTCCCACCAACGTGCCCGCTATTGGCCACAACAAGTTCGAACAGCGACACCGTGTCGTCAGCAAGGTAATAGCAAAAGAGAAACCTTCTACCTTCGTCCTCCGGAGATGGATTCACGCGTCGAGCAGAAAAACGGAACACATCATTCATAAATCGAGTAAGCTTGAGGCGATCCTTATGAGCAACCGTGTCTTCAAACACCATGGTTGAAGCACCCTGGACACTCTTTATGCTGGGCAGCTGCGTCGTCGTTGGCGGCGGTGCTTCTGTCTTGGGGACAAGTGCGTCCGCTTCCGTGGAGGGTTTTGGGAACGCAGGCTGTTTTATACCCCTCGCCTCGTAGTAGTCTCGAGTGTAGGGATCGCAGTCAAAAATGTAGAAGTCTCTTGTGAATAAATTGACAGTTTGTCCCGTCCGTAAGTCTTCGTCGGTGACGTATGCAACGGGAGGCCCAAGTGGAGCGTTAAGTGTTTCGATATCTCGTAGTGCTACCTTTGGATCTTTGGGGATAGGGGTCCGCCGAATGAAGACAGGGTTAGGATCACGCCCATCATTCCTTGCGTGTTCGAGCATAACCGAAATTGTTTTATCAGCGATGTAGTACTGTAATCTAAAAAGACGCTTATCCCAGACTGCAAGGAAACGCAGCACCTCCCGATCGTGTTCAAAGAAGTTGCGGGCCTTGTTGCGTTCTTCTGGCGAAAGAAGCGTAGCCTTGACGCCAGTGACACCTGCTGCAATAGTTTCCATTGTGCGCCGCATGGCAATATGATGCTCATCCATAGGGGCCTTCTCAACCTTAACGCTTTTCTCGAAGGCATCTTCTGGGTAGCCGAGAGGTTCAGGCTGAGTCATCCCCATCGCCGCGCAAAAGTCACGTGTGAAGGCGTCACAGTCCACAATCATGTACTCCAGCCCTCTTACGCGAATGGAGGAGCCGACGTAAAGAGCGAAGAAGTCCACACCGTCAATTTTGCAGCGAGATACAATCGTGCCAGCGGGGAGACCGCTGTTACCAACGGCAGGGGTCTCCACCACGACGAGAGTTCCATCACGGAGGTAAAAGTGAATCTTAACCTTCCTGACACGCATACGTTCCACCATGCTCTCATCCACACGTTCCACGTAGTATGCAAAGAAGCGAAGGACCTTGTCGTCCAGCGACTTCCATTCCGGGAACTTTGCGAAGATCTCAGCGCGGCTTAGACCGCCGCACTCCCCACTCTGTCCGTCATCGTCGCCCCTCCGTCGGGTCGTGTGGGCATCGAGAACGCTTCGAGTCCCACCATGGATGCTGCAGTAGTGACGGCGGAAGTGCGTCGCTGGGGGGTGGAGCTCCGGAAAGCTGAATCCAGGCAGCATCGGCAAAGCGTTGTACACCGTCTTTTCCATTGGAACGTGCATACCGCTCTCTTCCGCTTACGCAGACACACACAAACACACTGTTCGAAACCAACACAACAATGCAGCCATCATAGTAACAAAAGAAACACAAAAAGGAAAAAAAATCTAACATAGTATGAACGATAAAGCCAAGGCAGAAGCAAACAGCTGCATCAGCTCGCACCCTCAAAAAAGCAAAACATTCGCTCTCTTCCTACAAGAAAAAAAAAAAAAAACAATAACAACAAAAAATATATTAGTGAAATGCCTCCCTCCCCTTAACACATTCCCGTGCTGAGGCACATTCGGGTCACACCTTCGGCGGTGCAATAGGTCAATGCTGAGCCACCCAGAAAGCAAAAAACAAAACAAAACAAAACCAAACCAAATGCACTGTTCTGACACCATTACTGGCGCACTGATGTTTTCCTCAAGAATGTGGCTGGTGCAGAGACCAATCTATTTTGACCATGGCCCTTTCTCATTTTCTTACTTTTTTTATTTTATATCCTCTCTTCTCCACAGCACATCTGCATGCAGGCATCTCTACGTCGCACACACCTACACCTATTCCCATGTATCGGGGCCAATTAATACGCATTCCCTACACACGGCGTGAGGGAGAAATGTGAAACGGAAATGTATCCGCTTTAAAAACAAAAACAACAACACCAGATTGATAACAATAATAATAGTGACGAGAAAAGTGATCATGGAAAATTTTTTTTAGACCATCGCACAGCTTTTTCTCTCTTGTGTGACCTCCACTTCTTTCCCATTAAACACATCACGAGAGTGTAAGAAAGAATGAGGACAGCGACAATATATATATATATATATATATATATATATAAATAAATAAATAAGGCTACCCCCCAAATAAAGAAGGACAAGAAAAAAAACAAAACAAAAAAATATGATATTGTGCTTTTGTTTTTCCTCCTTCAAACTCCGGACAACTACCAGAGGAAAAACGTTCTTTCTCCTTTTCATTTCCTCGTTGGAACTTCTTCCGCCGTGCCAGTTCATTTGCATCCGCTATGAAAAGGGAATGAAATTACCACAAGAAACCGGCAACGCGGACACTGCAGAAAGACTGCTGCCCAGACTAAAATTTTGTCCGTGCAGCAACGGAGAGGGCGATCACGGCAAAAAAACGGAAGATAAAGTACAAGATGATGAGCGATACCCACATAGCCCAGTCTGAAAATTCTTCCGCGTTAAACCCAAGTTGTTCCAAGACTTGCTCGCCGTTCTTTGGTTGATGTCTGCAAAAATTTGGACCTTTGCCCGCACCGTCGCACTGAAAGTGGTTGATACGCTTGAACTCGTTGCGTGCAATAAGAATAAACGTATGGCGGATAAAAGAGGGTTTCTCCAGCCAGTACCAATATGGATGCAGCCGATCTGTGCTTGCCAAAAGCCCACCAGCAAGGGAAAGCGGCAGTACAATGACGGGCACGGTAGAAGAAGCAACGATCAGTCTGTTAAATGAGGCACTCAGAAAAAAACCAAGACCTGAGCTCACCTCTGTAAGCAGTGCAAGAGCAGCAAAGTAGTAGAAAAAGGCCCCCGCATCATGATAAAAGCCCACCATCCAGTACAAAATGGAGCTCTCAAGAAGACAAAAGAAAACACGCATAGGAAACTCCACCAAATTTCTTGTTAAAAAATACATGAATGGGGAGTATGATCCAACCATTTGTTCACGTACATACAAGGGCTTATCCATCATGAAGGAGTTGACCATGAGAAAAGTTTGCCCCATAGCTCGATTCATTGCTACCGTAAAAATAACACCTTCACGGTCTTGAATACCAGGAATATCATCCTTAATATTAATAAAGATGAGACCCACAATCAGCGCAAAAAAGGCGGCCTGCACAAACTGCGAAAACAAGTAGACACGATTTCGACAGAGTCCCACAGCAAAACGACGAAGAAGTTCCTCAAATTGAATCCACGGAGTGCTTCTAAACTGATCAAGGTATGTTTCAATAAACTTCACCGTGACAGACTCGGAAGGGTTGGGATTTAGTTCAACAGCCGTTGTATGTGATGTTCGCACACCATGCTTTAGGTGCTTTTTCCACTTTTTAATTAGAATCTTTGAAGTATCTGGATCCTGGAGCAGGGTCATGTAGAAATCGGTTGGAGTGTACCGCTCAGGGCAGGGGTAGCCGATAGACTCAAAGTACGCCATGGATTCTGCCATTGTGCCATGGTAAGCGCACTGACCCCCTGTAAGAAGCATGATATCATCAAAGTAGATCAACGTCTCAGCTGTGGGCTGATGAATAGTATAAACCACTGTGCGGCCTGTTCGGGAGATGGTATTCAAAAGATGCGCAATTTTCACCGATGTCACGGAGTCCAGGCCAGAGGTGGGCTCGTCTAGCAACATAATTTTGGGATCGCAGATAAGCTCTACACCAATGCTGCTGCGTTTGCGTTCACCACCAGAAAGACCAGCGATAAGGCCAGGGATACCAACAATGGTGTCGCGGCAATGAACAAGGCGTAATTCTTTCAAAGATTCCTCAACCAATGCATTGGTTTCATTTCGACTGGTGCCACGCCTCACACGAAGCGAAAAGCTGAGAGAATCCTCTGGTGTTGCACGTGGTAAGAGAATATCATCTTGCGCCACAAAACCAATCATCCTGCGGTAACGACGTTTGTATTCCACGTCACCCATCTGGCGTTGCCCCGTAATCTTGAGGGTGCGGGAGGACGCAAGTCGATCAGATATGGCATTGAGAAACGTCGTCTTACCCGCACCGCTCGCCCCCATCACGGCGAGGCATCGTGACGGTAGTGCCGTCCCTGTGAGACCGCGAAGAATTTTCTTACCGTTTGCCGTATATCCCAAGTTGTTCCAGGAGAGAGGTACGGAAAACCGTACGTTCGCGGGGCCTTGTTGAAGAATCCCTGCATTCAACTGCGCGACGGACTCCTTGAGGAAAAAACCAGGAACGAGTACGCTGTCGTTGTCGATTTGGGGCTCATTCTCTTTATTCAGCTGTGCTTGTTGCTCGTGTTCCGATGATAGCACGGAGCTGGGTGTGGGTGGCTCAGCCACCTGCGTTTGGAAGCAAGGCATTTACGCTTCCTTTTGTTCTTACTTTTAAACCCCCCCAAAAAAAAAACGGCTTTTTGCTTTTTGCTTTCCTTTCTCTCGATGAGTGAGTAATTCCTACAGGCTGCGACACCCAAAGAGGCATTCGGCAGCACACATGGAAGAAAAACAATATATATATATATATATATATATATATAAATGGGAAGTGATAGCACAACAACAGCAACAGTCACCCAACGACGCCCCACACAACGCGGAGTGTTTGGCACACATCGCATGTATGTGTAGTGCCCCACCACTTCATTTTAGCGTAACGAGTGTCTTGCCTGTCGCTTGATCACCAGACCAGAAATTCTTACACGAGGTGATGCGCCAAGGCCGTCAGCTCAGAAGAGGAATAATAAAAGACCAAAACCAAAACAGTCTCCATCCTTTTATTTTCTCCCGCTTTTTCTTTTTTTTTAAATCTTACTTTGATCGTTAACAAAAAGGAAAAATAAAGAGAAAAAAAAGGAAAATGCAAGACGTTTGTCCATTATACCAGTAGCACGGCGTTGATGCAGCCGTCGTTCTCCGGGTTGTTCGTGACCTGGGCGTACTTTCCCCAGACCACTTTTCCCGATGGGGTGACTAGGCCTAAATCTGAGACATTCACCTCTACCACCGTCCCCTTCGTGATGACGCCAAGACCGGTGTACATTTTACCCTGCGGATTCTTCTTGACACCAATGATTGGCAGATGAAACGTTGCCTTCAGCTCCGGGTGCGTCACATGGGCCTTCTTAAAACGGAGAGCCATGGGACGAATAAAACGTTCGTGCTTTGGCATGCGACGCGTGAATGTCTCACCAACAAATGTTACTTTATTTACCATGCGTTTCCACGACTTCTTTCCGCGCTTGCCGGAGGTGACAGCTCTCATCATTTCGTCCTCGCTGACGGGTTTGACCTTTTCAATCGGCACTGCCCACTTGCCAGCCTTTTCCTTCCGCTTCTGTTTCAACGAGTTGGAAAGCACCTTTGCACGATCCGCCTCGCTACGGTCCATGAGGAAACTCGGCAGCGCGTTCTTGGGCCCCTTCTCCTTGACACGCTCCGTGGTCTGCTTTTCCTCATGCTCGCGTATCTTCCTGCGGATTTCCGCCTTTTCCATGTAACGCTGTTTGGACGCTATCTTGGCCTTGATGCCCCGCACTGTGCGCAGGAAGTTCGCCTGCGTGTGGGCCTTGCGAGCCTCACGCTTGCGGATGCGCTCGGCGTGATCAAGACGGCGACCGTAGCGCTTCTGCGCCTGCTCAATGTACTCGTTTTGCGGCATTTTACCACACCCACCGCTTAACAAAATAAAACAGTCACAATAACTAAAAGCGCAACAACAAAAACAAATTTCTACTCTGCCCTTTGCAGTCCTGTGGAGAAGGAGAGAGAAAAGAAGAAAAATATAATTAAAACAAACAAACACCAAAACGATTCATAAAGGGTGATACCACGGCCTCCTCATTCGTCCTTCTCACTCCTGCACTCCCATTGACTTCCACACTGGCTGCCACAAAAACCACACCTAGCAGATCACTGGGTCAGTTCCTCCTGAAGACTGGGGAAAGCAATGGCATCAGCAACTTCTGCCACAAGGGCCTCAACTATGTGCTGTTCGTGCTTCGACAGGCGTGACACATCGAATGCAGGGTACATAGCACAAGGAGGTTCCACAGCTGGCGGTAAAGAGATCGTATACAAGCGGGGGGAAAGATCGCATTTCTCTTCTGGCGGTTCCGGTGTCAAAGACATACCATTTCGTTTCACTAGGTGGAGCCGGTGCTCTACGCGGGGCGCGCCCCCAGCTGTTGGTGCCGAGGCGGGGCGCTCTTGGTATGCGTTCTTGTAGCTACTATGAGACACCGCATCGTCTGATGACAATTTGTACCTCTTGGAGCGTAAAAACATTACTGGCCAAAGCTCTGCCTCCAGAGTGTAGCGGTAGCAGTAGGGAGGGAAGTAGAAGAATGAAAATAAAAGATAAATAAACACACAGGCACACAGAGAAAGAGAGAGGCAAAGACAACAACATATAAACATATGCTGAAGAAGAGTCATAAGGAACATGTCCTCATGCAGAGAGTAGCATGGCCAGACTCAGCTCCCCCCTCCCCCGCAAAGTGAACAGAATGAAACTAAGAATGAGACAATCTTTTCACTAACCGTCCTTCTTTTTTTTTTTGAAATCTTTCTCCCCTCGAGTTTCCTCCCTCTCTGCCTTATTCCTTTTCTCTATGTAATTTTCAAGAGCGCGGTAACAGCGTCCGAGTCCCGGTTGATGTAGCGTCTTCTTCCCCGTGTTATCGGTTCCACCTGGGCCACTGCCTTACCATAAAGCAAATCACGAACGGAACTGTGGTCATGAAACGAATGTCGTCCAATTTTCACGACAGCCTTTGGTGCTTCTTCCTCGTAAGCGTGCAGTGTTGGGAGTTCTCTTGGAACCTCCTCCACCATTTCAATATCTGGTTCGTCCGTTGGACACTCCTCCGGGTCAATGGCGTCAAAAATGGACTCCTTGACATACGCGTCAGCCGCATTGTCGCTGCCCCACGATGGCTCGTCAACGGAAAGGGCAGCACGTGGCGGCAACCTACGTGGTGGTTCCTTTTCTATTTCCGAGAAGAGCCGATCGCGCGGGGCGGAGGAGACAAAAGCGGGGCGAGGTTCTATCGGTCTTGATGCAGCACTCTGCCGACCCAGCTGTGCAGTGGAGGGGCGGGATGAGACCGACGATGCCGTCGCAGGGCGGCCTGTATCCATCACCACCGACGCTGCTGCCTCACGCACTGAAAGCGGCCACTTGCGGGAGTCAATGGCAAAAATATCACGCCGCAGCGACGGGTCAACGTCCAGCATGGACTTCTCCCGCTTGATCAGAAGAGTGGCAACGCCTTCAAAAGTTAGTTTAAACACCTTCTGCCTGAAGAGGCCTTCACCAACGTATGAGAAAAACTCACGAAGCGCCATTGTTGCGGTACGAGCAGGAACTGCCGCGATGCCGACAACTTCCGCCATGCTGGCCTTCACGTACGACAGTCTGGACGGCTCTTGCGGAACCTTGTTAGAATCTATGTTGTAGCGAAGGGCAAAGTTGCTGTCCACGCCAAAGTGAATGCGCCGCGCGTAGTAGCGTTCAATCCCGTCTGACACGAGCGGCCTTGTTTCCAGCCAAAAGGAACCAAAGTTGACGACACGTACGTTGTGACCCTCAAGGAGGTGTTGCCGCACAACCATCGACAGCGCACTCCACACGCGCTCCAATTCGCTAAGGAGAAAAATATCATTCGCACGCTGGTCCTGGGAGCTTGTGCACTCCATCATGACAAGTTCATTGACAATGGCTCCATGTGCGCTCAGCATAGTCCCCTTATCGTTCCTCTCTACTGCATTGCAACGCAATCCGGCAAAACACCAGTGGACACAAGGTTGAGGTGCGTGAAAGAGAATAAAAAAAGGGATGGGGGAGAAAGGCAGAAAAACAGAACGATGGGGAACGTCACTCACAACAACTACTTTTTTTTTCTTCTCTTCCTTTCTTACCTGTTGGAAGAAACCACACCTCTACCCAAATGTCCAACCTTAGCAAGTGAGCCATCGTACATCTCAAAGACTTTATCTACTTTTCTTTCCTTCCTTGGAGTTGTGAGGCGCGGGGAGGGGGGAGGGGGCACTGAGTTACAACGCAGCAACGTCACAAATACGTGGTGGAGGGCGGCCTGGGGCCATGCTGTGAACCTCTTTGGTTCCAGCATGCGGTCCAAGAAATCACTGCCTTAATGCGAAAAAATATCTATGAACTGTGGTGAGGCCTCCGGAAAGACCACAGCCTTCGGGCATTGTTCCGGTTGCGGCAAAAGTGATGCTGGTGCTGAGGAAAACACCAATTGCTGTACAAAGTCTAGCAGAACCCTGGCAGCGAGAATCACCGAGCGCCCTGCAGTGCCCACATAACAAAAGATGCCGGAGCGCTCGAGCTCCACAAGATGCTGCGCCATGAGGTCGTCCACAAGCGGCGCGTAGCGAGCAACGGAGACGGCAAGAAAGCGGTTGTACACGCGGGTCGCCCCGCGAAACTGCGGGTGGAGCAGATAGAGAGACAAAATGATGCGGCCACAAATGTAGAGTGCTCGCATTGAGAGGAGATGTGCGAGAACGAGTGAGTCCAGCACTTCCAGCAGCCACAGAAGCATCATGGCCAGCGTCAAGTTAGTAATAAGAGTCGCGTCAACCGGTTGTCCCTCGCGCAAGCAGCGGCAGAGATATACTCCCATCACAAGCGGCTTCACATACGCAACCACCCACAGGGCAAATTCTAGAACACACAACATTGCCACACAGTCCAAAGACCTGCTTGCAGTGTATGCTACTTGTGCAAATACAAGCACGCGGAGAGAAAACAAAATAAGTAAATAAAAATAAATTGCATCCAACAACAACAACAAAAAAAAAAACAACAACGAAATAAAAGCAAAATGTGCAAACCCCAGCAGCAAATCATCTCTCCCGCGCAGACCGCGGTAATGTAATAATAGATTTGAGGCAATCAACACACGAGAAGAACGGAGTGTTCTCCAGGAAGCTAGGGAAGTTTTTTTTATTTCTTTTTTTGCCCTCAATCTCTACCCTACGTATTTTCCGCGCCTCCAACACTCCTAAGAGAACAAAACATCCCACACCCATGCACGTGTGTGCGCACAGCAGGAGCAAAAGTGAAGAAAAATCAACACTCAGGGGAGCTACAGCGTTGGATCATTAAAGTAAAGCAAGTGGATGACGCACAATCCATCCCACGTTGTCTCACTGAGAGACTGCAAGCTTCTTCAAGTGTTCCATGAACATCCCCAGTGATGCATCGTCAGTGTACACCAGTTCCCCTTCGTTTGTTCCGTATCTTTGCTCATTTTCACCTCCATACGACCGACTTGGATTTATCCTATTATAAAGAATGCGTGCGTCAGGATCATCCTGACAGACGTAAATGAACCGAGGCGTGGGGTACCTACCGGCTATCAGTACCTCTGCATCCGCCACAGGAACCTCCAAAAACTCCCTAAAGTAGGCGTATTCCTCTTGCTCGGCGTACCCCGCCTTTCGCCACGCCGCGATGGTCGAGCCAAGATGAATAAGAACCTCAAAAAATGTATCCAGAAGAAGAACGTTATCGGGTTGAATAGCTGCACTGTCAAGAAGCACAGGCTGCGGTGGTGCATCCATGCGGTATGTGTACAATGTGGGCTGAATTTGAATAATAGAATCCTGGACAGAAGACTTAAGAAGCATCAGACGCAGAATGGCCGTCTCATCAGGGCTACAGTTAAACACTTGTAGATACCCTGATCGTCGAAGATGGTACATAAAGGCCGGAAAAAAGACAAACTGAGGCGGTAGCTTCAGTGTCGAGGGGTGATCCTTCAAGTAGTCACCAAAGCGGCTGACGAGGCGCACCACCGTTCGATCCAACCATCGGAGGACGTCAAATAATGGAATAGTGTCTGCCTTATGCAGCGCCTCACGCGCCAGAAGCACCGCCGCAGTCTCCTGATCAAAGGAGGCGGCCAACTCGGGCATACTCGTGCTGCGTTGCACCTGGTGCGTCACCGTACACACGCGTGTTCGTACTTCGTTCCCTATTTCGTATTTTGTGATAAATTGGGCATAACGCACCGCCTGCCTTGCCGCCTCAGATGGGGGTGCAGATGTTGTATCAAAATAAACCGCAAAATTTGTCGTCGAGTCCATCATACATGCCGTCCACTGACACGTCCCACCCATTCCAACCTCGTAGTCTGCTACAGAGGAGGACTTTTTGCCGGTGCCCACGCATTGCCCAATCACCCCCATCACCTTCCATGTTGCCGACGTAATCACGTCCATGGTGACATTGAGCCCCATCTTCAGCGTCCCGTCCTCCCTGCGTTCAAAGAAACGGTGAAGCGATTGACGAAAGGGTTCCTTGCACCATGATTCGTCATTTAACACAACTCCCCCGGAGGCCTGAATGCAGAGTTTCATTTCCGCTATGCCGGTCTGATCCAATGAGGCAGTAAAACAGCTTAGCGAGTGCCCCTGTTTAACAATGCGGTGCATCAGGGACTCGTAAAACGCGCAGGACGACTCCCAAAAAGATGCAGCGGCTGCACCGTCTCGAATATCCGCATGACCCCGAATAAATTTCTCCCGTGTGGTTTCCACAACAATGCCTGGTCCCTCGGTACATATGCCCGAAGTAAAGCCGAGAATGCAGGACCCTGTGTTGGGTGAGACAATCTCAAGGATGCTGGCGGCAGCGGAGAGGGCGGCACCTGTGCATCGCAACGGACGGTGCGATTTTGGCACGGGCCACACATCCTGCTGCATCTCTTCTAGAATCAAGGCCACTACGGACTTCACATTCGAGAGGACACCCACAAACTGTTGTGGTTCCCGCATAATTTTTTTAAGCGCTTCTACCGTAACTTCTTGGCTTCCACGCAGCACTAACGAGCGCGGGTAGTCGGTGACACCGCTAAGTTCGTGAATTTGCACAGTTGTCCCATACGTGATGAGACAAATACGTACCTCCGCGGGGAGCTTGCTGAGGGCGTCTAACGCAAATTCCTTCAACCCGTTAAGCTCGCCCTCCGTGTCTATGCAGGTGTCTAGCACAAACACAAATGTCGGCGGGTCACGCTTCACAGTGCTCACGTACTCCACCGTGTCATTCCACCTTGCAAGCTCTGACGGGAAGTTATGCTCTGTTATTTGGGCATACTTCGGGGGAGAATTATTTTTGGTTCCACAGAAAGGGCATCCCCATGTCCTTGATCGGTAGTCAATGATGCAATACGGGTTTAAAACACCACCACAAACACAGCGCAAGGGCTCGTAGTTTAGCTCCGTACAGGGGGATCCAATTGGGGCGTAGACGCAGCCGAGAGGCACCACCATCCGCGCAGCATCAATCCTGTTTGCGGGGTAGAGGTTCCACGACCACCGTGGAAGATGCTCCACTCGGTGCTGCTGCTGCTCTTGCTGTGAGGTCCCCATATTTGAGTCCATGGTGAGCAAAGGAATTTGTTTATTTCTTCCTTTTTTAAAAAATTTCTATATTTTATTGTATAAATGTATATATTGCTATTATTTATATCCCCACAGGTGAAGGAAAACGTGAGAAACATCGGAGGAAAAGAAGCAGCAATACTGCCCACACGTACACTGCTACGTAGAAGCAACAAGATTCAAGTTGCACACGTATTGTTTTTGTTTTCAAAATCCACCAAGGCAAATTATTTCCCCGCAGAAAAAGTAGCAATATATATATATATATTGCTATTTTGTGTGTGTGTGTGTGCTAGAAGAAAGAGCCAAGAACGTCATCTTCCTTCTGCCCTGCCACGGAGAATGACGTGTTCTGCGCGTTTCCTTCTAGTGCGCCCCGCTCTGCATCTAGCCACGCAACGAGGGAGGCTCCACCATCTAGCTTGCAGTGGACAACCTCCCTAAGCTTCGCAAGTAGTTGTGACGCCTCCTCTCGAACCGCCGCAGCTCTTTCTGGTGAGGCGTGTGACTGGCGAAGACACTCTTCCTTCACCTCGTTGTACCTCGACATCAGGTTCACAATGTAGGACAGCTGCCCCGGCATGGAAGCTCCCCCCGTCGCGTCACTAGGTTGCTTCGCCTCCTTCACACCGAGCTGGGCAATCCATGCACGTGGAAAAATATTCAGGATAGCCCACCACGACACCACCTTCGCCAGATTTTGTTCAAATGCCTCAGTGTTTGTCCCGGTAAGCGTACGCACCGCATGCACTGTGCCTGGAAGAGTCTTACTGACCGCCATCAACACGCTCCGCTTCCCCGCCTCTGGAACGCCGTTAGCAGCGCAAGTGAGGAGAAGTTCATGAATGACATTGAGTAGTGCGCACCGCATCTCGTTCCTCGTGGATGCGTTTCGCATCCTCTCATCGATGGCGGCCAGAATAATATCGGCGCTAGAGGCCTGCAACGCACACCACGCCGCTACACTTATGATGGATCCCGCAGAGCTACCTACAAGGTCCAACCGACGCCCCACCTTCTCCTTGTTCATCGTGCCCGGATACTACAGAGAGGAGTCCTCAAAAAGCAAAAAAAAAAAAAGAAACATAAATAAAAGGGGAAAAAGCATTACTCACTACCAACGATAATCAGAGAGAAGCAAGAAGGGTGTGTCTGTGTCTGTGTGCGTGTTCCCATACCAGCCTTGCCTCGGTCACACCTCCCCCACTCTTTCTTGCCCTTTTTGATATCAAAAGTCATTCAGTGCATATCGTACACGCGTCGTGAACTGCCTGAAGTTTTCCGTGGAAAAGGACCAGCGCGGGTCCTCCTTCCCCAGCCACACAATCATGTAGGCAATCTGGAGATCATTTGGAAGCTCAAACTCCAAATCTGCGCGGTGCAGACAAATTTCTCCTGTGTGAACGGGGCGTCGAGCGACGCTCAATCCCACGTCATTGGCGGCACGAAGAGAACTTTTGACGTCCATCAAGACATCGCCCATTGCAGGGTTCTTTTGAACGGTGTAATAGCGCAGTTCATGTGACTCCAGCACCAGCCACTCATGCTTTTGTCGGAAAAAAAAACGGGCAATTGGGTTGGACTCACAAATGGTGTAGAACGTAAAGACGTGTCGCAGCACATTCTTCGCCTGCAGAAGAACATCACGATGTATGAGGACGCGTCCCTCTTTGGCACAGCAGTCGCTGACAAAATCCACGCAAAGGCCACATCCTGCTGTGGCAGCGCAGATGCCTAAGAGTGGTCCGCCAGTGAAATCCGGGCGGGTAGTGCGCTCAGGGAAAGTCCTGCACCCAGCGTGGCTCCGCATGTAAGACCTTGTCCCATGACACACAATCTCCCCACTTCAGATATCGCAGTCAAGACCACATACTGCGAAAGAAAGAACCCTCAGTAACGCCAAGCAACATGGAAAAAGAAGCAGACTGCCCAAGCGTCATTCAAAAGCATAAAAATACATGCAAGAAACCCAACAAAAATTTGGACATATAAAAATGATGTGAAGAAAAAAAAAAAGAAGAAGCGATAAATAATAATAATAACAATAAAAAAAAACGGGGTAACAAACGTGCCACAGTTTCACGGGAATAAATGGATCGGCAACCAACTTTTCATCCTTGAAATAGCGGTAACACATAAGCGAAGATCTAAAACATGTACATGGAAAATGCATGACCCACAGAGAGAGAAAAAGAGAAAAAACGAGAAAGCGATGTAGAGATCAAATGTACTCGCCAGGGCCTCTTCTATACTCCTGAGACATTCCGGACGGGCCATGTTCCCTGACGTCCGGTGCCTGGCACGGGTCACTTGCCTGCACCAGAAAAGTTAGATTCTTGTCACGGTCGTATGGGGTTTCCCGCAACATCAGAGGCGGCGGTGACGACGGTGCGGGCTTCGCCAGTGCCTCGTCAAGAGAAACACGCGTCCGCACAGCACCGTCTCCCCATTGAAGCTCAACGAAACTTGTCACAAACCAGATAAACGTCAACCAGGTGACCATGAACGGTAACACGAAAAAAAAAGCTGGACAATAAAACAGAATCCCTGAAATCCGTTGCGCCACCCATGCTGTGCCACAGCAGTGGACTCGAGCACAAAAAAAGGGAGATCCTTCGAAAAAAACATGGCGCTAACGCCAGTGATAATAATCCATGCTTGATGCGACGACCTAAAAACATATAAGGCCGCGCGAAGCCACATAACGCTACTAAACAGTGCGTACACTAATGTCCCAATGATACAAAAGGCAAGATACGCTGCCACGAATCCCTTTCCATAGAGACCTAAATGAAGACGAAAGTACGTGCTATAGTTTACCCACGAGAAACACAATGCCACCAGGTACAGTCCAATAAGCAGCACAGGGAGAAAGCCCGTGCCAGGAGGCACCACGGACTTCACAAACGTCATGCCATGCGTCATCGCTACTTCACTCTCTATACCGCTAATTGCATGATAACCAAAAACAGAGCCAATATTATACGTATAACAATAAAAGCAGAAAAAAAAACAAGTAGAAAAAATAGTAAACATCAAAAGAAACAGTGGTGGGTACACTGTGTATACATGCACGGTGGGAGCCACAAAAAAAAATAATAAATAAATAAAAACTATACTGAGAGCTCACACGCAAGCGGAATGTCTTGAAACGCCATAACACTCACGGTTGGGCCTGCATACATTGTCTTTCACTAACCAAATATGGGACAAAAATTGGCATATACATTCATGCAGCAATAAAATAAAACAAAATAATTCCTCAGCAACTGCGCGTGAGCCGGGCCGCAAGCAAACAAATAATAATAATAATTAATAAACAAGCAAACTTGGAATGCGGCATCAGCGTGTATAAAACAAAAAATTATGTTAACATGTATGCATTTTACTCTAATGTATTGCCACAGTCTGCCAGTCGAAAACAGCTAAATAAAATCCCAAGCATGAAGTATGACCGGGGCCTTCAAGCGAGTCCGCTGTTGCGACAGTCTCAGCCTTCTCCTTCTGCTTGACCTTTCCCAATTGTGTTTGCTTGCGCGGGATAAACGGGAGTCGTTTTCTTTCAGCTATAAAAGCATACACCGCGGTCTCAAGGGCACACTTTCCCGTGTTTCATCGTTAATTTGCGAGTATAACGGTGGTCTTGGTTTCTGTGGTGGCGAGACCTTTCAGTGGGCACTCTTGTTTTTGTTGGCCGCCTAGCTACCGTTGTGTCGCGCCCGCGCATTGGCAGCCATGCGGCTGCGTTCCTCTTTTTGCCGCCGCTCCTTTCGTTGCACTTGCCTCAGTTTCTTGAGTTGCTGTCGCAGCTCTTCCTGTTGCTTTTTTTTCATCGTCTGGAAACGCCTAACCCGCATATATGCCTCTGACTTCACACCCACACTTCCCCATTTTACTATCACTCGTGTCTCTCTCTCCTCCCACTGAGACAAGATGCGCTGAACACGGTCCTGCAGCACGGTATCCTTTCCATTACCGTTGCTGTCTCCGTCCCCGCGCTCTCCAATGCTGCCGGCCTGCGAGTCAGAGCTAAGATCCCACTCCTCGCGCCGGAGGCCGACATACACGTCTTCTGCCTCTGGTGCATGTACGTGTGTCGGTGGGAATGGAGCCACCAACTTCCATTCGACGCCACCGTCACCCACATTGATGGGCATAGCAGCCGTTGAGGCACAGGAGACAATAATATTAGTACATAAAAAAAAACGTACAACGGCAACAAAAAAAAAGTAGAGCAAAAGAATGTAGAGAACAATGTTGTGGAGGCTGCCAAAAAGAGGGGTTCAGCGTAGGAGCGAAGAAGTGCATCATATCAACCTAACAGCATAAACCCACACCTCGAGTCACTTCTCTAGAAAGAGGCATGCTGACGAAAACAACGCGAGATGACCTCATACAGTGCCTCCCTGTACTCTGCAACAGCAAAGTTCTTCTCATCTGGCAGCGGCAGTGAAATCACTTCAGCTTTGTCAAGTTCCTCAATATCTTTGTCAGTGAAGAAGGGGGCGAAATACGGATGTCTAAGAGCCCCCCGCGCTGTTAACCGCTTATTGGGGTTGAAAACAACAAGTTTGCAGATTAGGTCCACTGCGTCGGGGTCGTGTTCACGCAGATTTTCCTGCAAGGGATGACTTTTGATGGCAGGAGAGGCGTCCATAAGCGGCCATATTTCATTTGACCCCAAACTCTCCAAGTCGGAGGTTGTGGGCTCCCCCAGGGCACCAATGATGAGGGAGAGTTGATGCAGTGTGGAGCGCCCCATGAAAAGTGGTGATGATGTTAGCAGCTCATAAATGATGCAACCAACCGCCCAAATGTCCATGGCTGTCGTGTAATTCGCGGAGTTCACAAGTAGTTCGGGCGCTCTGTACCAGCGGGTGGCGACGTAACCTGTCAAATCCCGAAAGACATCTTCGCCTTGGGCCTGAGCACACCGCGCAAGCCCAAAGTCACCAAGCTTAATGCCACAGTCAGAGTTTACAAAAATGTTGGCCGGTTTCAAGTCGCGATGAAGTACGCCACGGCTGTGTAAATAGGCGACAGTTTTTACAACCTGGTAGGCCAAGTACTGTTGATGAACCGGTAGTAAAACATTGTGATGCAGAATTGTTGAGAGATCTGTCTCGGCTAGCTCAAACGCCAGGTAGAGGTCGGCGTCATTCACAGACCGTATCATGTTCGTCAGGCGTATAATACTCCCATGATGAAGGGCATTGAGCAGCATCACCTCACGGTATGTCCGCTGTGCATCCTGCTGGTTCCCGAATGCGTCAAACACCTTCTTCAACGCCACTAGTCCACTTGTCTGACGGTCCAGCGCACACCACACGACGCCGTACGCCCCACTGCCAATGTGGCTGATGATTTTGTACCGCTGCTCGATGTGACCGTCGACATTGAACGGGGCCATTGACCGATACACTCGGCGAATAAAGGAAAATAAGAGCCTCTAGGTACGCGCAGAGGAGGGGCGGGTGGCGGGGGACAATGAGAGCGGACTCGCCGGACAAATGCCACCAACGTCGTGGGGCTCGGTGGCAGCTAAGCAAAAAGAAACACCAGCAACACAACAACGGGGGCGATATCAAAAGGGGGAAAAATGGTAATTTACACGACGAAGAACAAAACAACAACAACAACAACAAAAGACAGTCGCAATGCATTGAAGCAACAAACAAATATTTTTTTTTAAAAAAAAAATGAAAGAAGCCAAACAAATGAATGAGGGGTGGGTGGGTGAGTGGGACTGTGGCACGAACACGCCTGCTAGATGCATTGTCGACAGTAACTGAGACGCATTCACCGCAATGAGCGCCCAACTCCGCCAAAGGCTTGGAAGCGCCGTTCCCGTGCCTCCCGTGCCTTTTCATCGGGCGTTTTCCCCACACCCTGCTCTTCTCCTGCGGATGCTACGGGTGCGACAGGCTTGTCATTCACACGGCGTCCACCACCCATAAATGGGATAAAGCCGGGTTTGGCTTGGTCCTTCTCCTCTTGTTTTTCTGCCTCGCCGCCTTTTGTTTCCTTCTTCACAATTGTTGGGGGCTTAAGCACAAAGGGAGCAAACTCCACACCCTCAGCCGAGCCAATCACATTGGTGCCTTCTGGAACCGGTAACTCCCTCTCTGGCGGCGTCAATGGCATATCCAACGGCCGCTCAAACTCAACTTTTAGTTCAGTTGCCTGCGCATCCGCACGAACAGTCGAAATCGCCTCGACGCTGCGGTCCGCTTCGTTTGTAATATCAGTCACATCAATGATGAATTCACGATCAAGGTAGCGTAGTATAATGGAGGTGCCTCTTGTGAGAACAGGGTAGTGACTAAGATGCATCTCCAGCACCTTCCTGGGGTCACTGAGCTGAATAAAGCTCGACTGCTGTGGGCGAAGCTTGACAAGTTTACCCGGTGGTAGAACACACGTCTCAAGCGTGACGGTGTCGCCGGGCTGAAGCAACAACGCAGAGAACATCCACAATGGCATGATGACTATGCCGTTGTCAGCATTGAATTCCAACACTCCGGCGTAGCAGACACCTTTCCGAGAGCGAATGCAAAACTGGAGCGGGTAGGCGACATTCATGGTGGATATCTCCGCCAGACACGAGGAAGGGAGGAGGACACGGCCCCCGCCATCCACCAGTTCACCCCGTTCGCTGAACTCGCCGGGATATGCAGCAAGCTGCTTCCGAAACACATCAAGACCGTCAATAATAGGATGATACATGTCTTTCCAAACGCATTCTGTATTCCACACGCAGTGACGTGTACAAAGATATAAAAAGAATGTGCAGTCAAGCAAAGGAAACAACAACAAAAAAAAACAATACAAACAAGAATAAAACAATAATAACAAAGCAGAAAGTTTTTATAATAAAACGAAAGACTCCTTTGTAGTCGCTATTTTAGCAAACAAATAATACACAATGGAGATAACAACAAGAACAACAACAATAGTAAACATACAAAGAGGAGTAGGGAGTTGGAAAGGTAGTGCGTTCTTGTTGCCTAATGCCCTTCACAGTTAGCGCTCAAACATGGGGGATGAGATATATATGCGGGATCAATGAACAAGAGTGTATCGAGCGCTGCCTCCATGTACTGCAGCAACTCCTCCGGCACCTCGTTCTCGTCAACGTACAAACATTTCAACGCATACCAAAGATCATCACCTGGGCAATGCACAGCATCAAGACGAAGCATCGTTTTTTTCTCAGTCTTAACCACAAATACCACTTTACTTTTCCCTGAGGCGGTTTCCTCCCGCCGTGAAAAAATTAATTTTCCTAGCCCCTTCAATCCGGTCCGCTCAAGCTCCCCGAGCTCCCGCTCACCAAAGGCACCAACCTCAAACTCAAACATACCTGCGTCTTTGGTTCGCACAAACATGCTGATAAAGGGGTCGACGGTGTGGATGCAAACGTTGGTGGTAAAACGTTGAATAGAAGGCAACTGCATTTCCAAAGCCTCGGAGACATACAAACTGGGTGGAAGATGTTTGCCAGTAACCTCTCCCGACGAAACACTCACCGCCTCAAGCAGATTCTTAACTTCATTTATGACAGTGGCACCTAATTTCGCACGTGAGTTCCAGCGCGAAGCAAGATAGAGCTTGCCAGGGATGAGGGTAATCACATCGCCGCCATCGCAACTAGCATCGGTGCTCTGATTAAATTTGTTTCCACTAGTCTTTTTCTTCTGTGGATCCCACGTGAGCACCTCGCCTGACCACTCATTTGCATGTCGATAACTAAGCACAAGAGCATCGTTGACGTTGGTGCTCGTTACAATAAACTGCGGTGAGAGACAGACGCGGTATACCTCCTCCCCAATACCTGAACGTAGGGTATGGCAGACCCTCCCTGGAACCACTCGGGGGGCTTTCTCCAAGCGTGCACTCTGTACAGTAATAAAAAATTCAGTGAGACGGGCTCTGTAGTTGTCCAAGTGGGACTGAAGCTGAATAATGTACGCTACATGATTATGTACGAGAAAGAAGGTTGTAACAACCACAGGGGCAGGCCCAAGGTAGAAACAGACATATCGCTCCATGATCGTCGTCACAATCTTGCTTGCAGAGGTATCGTACTGTATTTTAAAGTACGTCTGCTGCTGCGCCGCCTCCTCCTGAACCCGCGCGATGCATTTCGCTTTGTAGGCTTCTGTGGCCATGTTACCCTCCACGTTGCCCAAATCCTCGGCAACAATGGTAATGCTACACCCGTCCACGTGAACATAGCGCTTTAATTCAATAGGAAATCGGTACGTGGCAGCCTCCCGAGTGAAAGACCCTGCCACATTCATGGCGAGATAACCTACCGACACGTTTAAATCAAAGCCAAAGCGGACTAACGTTTTTTCTGGAGAGGTGCTGTTACTGACCCCCTTCCGGCCACTTTGTTGGGATATTGGAATAGGCCGGGACGTGGGTGCGCCTTCTATCCGCAATTTCAATGATTTTGCACATCCCTTTTCCAAGAATAACAATGATAAGGGTAATATTTTATCAATGCCTCTGTGCGTCCCCGTCTTGGACCTCAAACGAAGTTCCATGAGGCGGGCTACTTGCATTCGGCGCCTGTAACGCACCGATATGTACGACAAGATGCAGCAGCCCAGCACAATCCCCAGTGCGGCGCCAATAGTTCGCTTGTGACTGTTGCTCTCCCACATCCATTGACACATGAGCAACCTACAAAATTCCACTAAGCTGAAAACCCAGTCACACACAGTAATAAATGCAAACACGCATCCGATGTATCAAGGCAAAAAAAAAAAAAACAAGAGATAAATCAACTTCTCTCTCCCACGGCCACTGACACACCACAAAGACACACATACAGGCGTAACTCATATGTGGTGTACCGAACAAACGGCCTCATTCATTCATACCTACAGTTACTTTGCTTTCTTTCTTCCTACGCACACGTATGTGCGTGTGTACGTTCACTGTCCTCCCCTTCTTTCTTACTCTTCTTTTCAGTTAAGCAAGAGATGTTCGCTAAACTCGTTATGATGACTGACAATGAGGTCGGTTGCATGCGACAATTCTTCACACACGGAGGCAATTCGCGCGTCCCACGCCTCCAACGCAGAGGCATTGTCGTACCGACAGAAAACAACCGTCTCTGTTGTCTGGTCGAGTGTTGCATCTAGTCGTCGTTCCGACACCATTCGCGCCACAAGTCGCTCTGCCTCACGGGCTGTGGTGCCAATAAGGGCCCCAAGTTCCGCAAAACCAATGTTGTAGTAGACCCGGGAAATGGCCTGGAGGTTGTGCTGAATAAAGGCACGTTCAATGACGGCGGTGTCGGTGGAGGGTTCCACGTAGGAAAGAAACTGCCCAAGGTCGCTAGGGCGCAACAGGTGTGAATGGTGTGCCCGGGTAAGGATGCCGTAAAGCTCCCCAAAAAGCACCGCATTCTTATCCTTGTAGAAGGTGCTTAGCAGCCGCGCGCGCGTCGCACCCGCATCGCTCTGAATGGCGCACACAATGGCCGCACGAAGGTGCGTCAGAATTTTGGTTCGCATGTACAATTCATAAAAGCGCTGGGACGCCTCCGCAAACCGATACCTCGCCGCCAGTAGTGAGGCAAAGGCATGCAAAAATGCGTTCACCACATCACTTGCTTCCTGTCGCGTCACTAAGGCCTTGTATAAAGCCAGCCCTCGCAGACACTCCGTCTCCGCCGCGGCAAAGTTACGGGTGCGCAGGGCACTATTTAAAATGCTCGTCAAAAGCCTCAGCGACACCATGTCGTCCTCTGCAGGAAGCATGAGGCGCCAAAGTTCCTGCGCCTGCTCTTCATCACCCGCCTGCACGCACCACTCCGCTACGGCGCCACGAACATCAAACAGCACCGTACTCCATACCGCGCTACGATACACAGCAGCCGCCAGTAACGCCTTTCCGGCCTGGACGGCAAATGTGAAGTTGGCGCGTGCTGCCTCATGCAGGTGTTCCAGCGCACACGCAATCACTGCTCGTGAGACCTCGCTTGGAGTCAGCTCCTTCAGTATCGAGTTGACGAAGACTTCCCAGGCCTCCAAGTTATGAGAGGCGACAATCGCCGCTACTTGTGCCTCGGTATAGCTACCTTGTTCTTCAGTCATTGTGCCACACAAAACTGGTACCAAAATGAATAAGACTCACGCACGCACACACATACGCGCAACTAGAGATAGAAAAACAAAAACAAAAACAAAAGTGAGAGAAAAAAGGAGGTCAAAAACATTCAAATACATGAGCCCATGTATATGCCATCCCCTCCAATTTAGAAGGTGGTGGTGGTGGGAGGAAGGAATGGTTTTCACCAATACCTAATCCCACCTTACACAACGTGGTATACGTATGTGTCTAATAGCGACATCTAATAGTATTAATGATGACTGAGTTAATCGTGTTAGCGGGCAGAGAGCACGTGGATGAGGTATCATCATTCTCGCTTTGCCTTCTTGACGGGACGATTCAAGAAATACTCCACAGCACTGTCAGGCTTCGCGTCCTTCTGCGACGCGTGACGCTTTGCCCGTCTTGCTGTGGCAACGGTGGCTGCCAGATCCACAAGTTCAGATTTCGTTCGCTTGTCTTTTTGCGCAACGTCCAGGTGGAAGCGCGGGTCGGTGAGCAGTTTACTCTGAAAGCGCGGATCAATCGCGTCAGTGGCGGCCTCGGATCGCTGCGCCTCACGCACCTCCCGGCTGACACCAAGCGAGTTGGACGCCCGCATCTTTTTCTTTGCCTCCCGCTCAGCGGCCACGCGTTGCTTCACCAACTTGGCGTGCGTCTTCCGCTTCTCCCGACCGCTCACGTGTTTGGCACCGGCGTCGTCGGTGCCAAGTGTCTCACGCAGCATTTGCCTCTTCTTCTCGCGTTCTTCTTGCCGTTGCGCCACTTCCGCCTCACGTTCCTGAGCCAACATCTCCATCTTCGCCTTCCGCATCTCTTTACGGCGGAGCTTGTACTTTAGCTCGGCCTGACTTCCCAAATCAACAGAATTCATCCTCTGTTTGACCTGGGTGTCGCGCTGCAAGCGTGCCGCCTTTGTCCCCGCGTCAAGATCCAGGGTTGCCTCCATGTCACCCACAAACTCCGCATTGTCAGAGGCGTTTTCCTCTCCCTCCTCCTCGTCATTCAACTCAACGTCGCTGAAGCGATTGAGCGAGTTGTCGTCGCTGGGTTCATCCCCTGCTGCACCCGCCTCCTCGCTCTCGCCGCGCTGCTCCTCTTCAGGCAGTCCACCGATCTCTTCTAGCAAACTGGCGTACTTCTTTCGAATGCGGAGCCTCTCCCGGGCGTTGCTCTTCTTGTTGCCGCTAACCTCGCCAACATCGTCCTCGTCGGAGGAGTCAGGTGGGGCAATGTACGCCGCGATGTCATCCTCCGCTGTGTCACCGGTGAAGCTGTCGCGGATGGAGCGATATCGGAAGAAGTCATCTTGATCCCACGAAATGCGGAAGCGGGTCTGCGAGAGTGCCGCAGCCTTGAACGCGGCGAGGGGTCTGTAGTTAGCAGGAATACTGTCAGCCTTGTTGACAGGGTTTTCGAACACCTCGTCGTCGTCGATGTAGCGCAGGTCCAGCACGACGCCACTGGCCTCAATGTCCATGCCGTCCAACTGCTTGTAGACTGTCTCCGCCGTCTCCGCCGAGTCAAACGTAGCAACGGCATAGAAGTACTTCATGCGATCGCGCTCGTACTTGCGGTATTTCCCTTGCGAGAATAGCTCTCCATCCTCCCCTTCTTCGTGCAGCATTGCGACATTGTCGTCCTCCCACGGATCCTCCTCATCGTTGTTGTCGTGGTTGTCCTCAGCGTCCACAAGCTCCTCCCCTATGCCACTGTCGTTCTGGCGGTAGTGGTGATTTTTCTGCCTAGCCTCGCTGTCTTCCTCCCTCTCCTCATTCTTAACCCACAGATCTGGACCGTGCACACGTTCATGCTCAAGCATGCGCTTGCCAAAGTCGCTCATGTACACAGCAACGTCGATGAGCTGTCCACCCAGTGGAAGCGCGTAAAAGAGAATGGTGTAAAGGTCTACGGCTCGAATATGATCCCAACTGCAGTTCACAATCGCCAAACGACGGTGCGGCTCAATGAATTCCACATCCGATGCCGACCAGGCCTCCACCTCGTCGTCAAGCTCCTTCTCGTCTCCCTCCGACAACGCCGCGTCACTCTCGTCAGTGGTGTATTCATTGTCTTGCTCGGAATCCTCGTGGCGTGCATCCGCCTCATTCCTGTCCTCACCCACCACCCCCACCTCCTCCTCCTCATCATCATCAGACTCTGCCGGAACTTTCCCCATTTCCTCAAGCTGCCTCGCAAAACGGGGATCCCTCAGCGCAGCGTCACGTGGGTTGCTGCCACGTCCCGCACCACGACGGTGACGGGCGATCTGAAAGCGGGTGTCGGTGTACCGCGAGGCAAAGCGTCTATCTCCGCGCCCACCACGCCCACCACGGCCTCGCGAGGAGCTCTGTAGCGTCTTCATTCCTTACTTAACCGGCCTCACACTGCATATATATATATATATATATATATATATATATATAGTAGTAAAC